CTCCAACACACCAGTGTGCTGAAGTAGTAACTAATTGCCACGTTGTGTTTGCGTGACAAACCTTCCTAATTGGCTGTGTTGGGTGGTGGTGGGTTAACGACACAGTAATAGTTATGTGGTCAAACCCAAAAACTACCCTTTATAATGAATAATAAAGGGAGGATTCTGAGAAAACCTGAAGGGGAGGAAATCCCTGTCGAATGAAGTCTCCAAAACGTAGGACACTCGCCGCAGTGTACACCCAGCGTGGCCCGGCGAAAGCGCGCAAATTGATTGCAATTTATATGCAATATTTAATTAGATTTTTCAAAGAAATAATTCCATGATTGTTCCAACAGTCTGTAGTTGCAGCTTTCTTCAACATCATGACGTTTTCGGAAAATTTGAAAAAAGTGGCGTTTTTAAAAAAAAATCTTGTTGGGGATTTCACACCTGAGGATGATTGCTTGTGTTGCAGTCGAAACGTCGTGAGAATTTTATTGTTTTATATTTTTATTATTATTTTATTATTTCCCTTCTATGTGAATTTACCGAAAGAACCAAGAGTATGAATCGCTGCAGTCACGAAAGCTTTAAATCAAAATGTATTCGCAATATAGTTTTGAATAAGTGCCTGCTCACTCCCATGAGCACTGGGGCAGTGCTGTCGCTGATCTTGGCTGGTGGTCCTGTTCCAAGTGATAGCCCATTCCACGTTATTTTGGCAGAGACATTTTCACTCAGGACAATTATGTTTTACTTGTATATATACGCCGCGTATACGGGGGCAGCTGTGGAGCTATTATTAGTGTATTGCCATATTAATCTGTTCACATGCGTTTGATTCCCTGCCATGAGTGTAATCAGAACCAGTTGCGGGCCTCCCTCCGTCCACTAACCCCCAGTGACCAGCTTGGTGAAGTATGGTCAAAACAACGACCACGACTGAGGGGTGGACTGACAACTGCATGAAATGTATCATTACTATAAATACTTTTGCTAGAAATGTCTTATTATAAAAGGTACACCTAATGATAGCGTTTTACCCTGCCAAATTATATTTAGATGCCATCCAAATTTGACGATTGAAAAACACCAATCATGAATATTATTTTCATAAAACTGAATATATGTATAGTATATATGGGACCGGATTAATGTTTTTGTTTGTTTATGAAATAGCAATAAATCAATGATTAACCACAACCCTTATATTTTAACAGAAATGGCATCATGTACAAGTTTAAATAAAGGTTTGAGAAACCCTGCCAAGTCTTAAATACGCGTTCATAAATTAAAATGTATGAGAAGCACACACTTCTATGTAGAACAATACAATATTCCCTCCCTAAGCTTCCAATACATATTGCCCAGATGCAGTATCGCCCACTCGTTGTCGACGTTCCAATTAACATGTGAGGGTTATGTCCCACAGATGCCAGTAGAGGGCATCATCGGACAAGCGTGGTAAATTGACCCAGATCAGACTCCACGACCACCACCACCACCACCAAAGGCATGAGCAGCCGCAGGAGTCATAGGCGGAGTGATTCATTATAATTCACAAGCCCTCTCGAGTGTGATGCTCACACTCAACTGGCTTTTGCTTAGCTTTGCTGCACGAAGCATCGCAGTATGTAAATTCCCAACACAGTAATGCACTCTCCTTACCACCACACTGGGTTTCTCCTCTCAGTTCAATGGCTTTCTTATTACGCTTCACGACTCCGAGAAGCAAAGCAAGGCTCATGTTAAAATCCTATAGAGACTTATTTTGTAAGATGGCTTACAGCATTAACACAACTGTGTCATCTGTGACCTCCCAAATGTTAAATGACATCGCACTATTTGGCGCTCCATTCCATCATCGCTTTCAACTTACAAAAAAAAACACACGGCTTTAAAGCCCAGAACTGGTCTTCTAGTCATGCAGAAGCCCCTTTGGGTCATTTAAAAAATGCATAAATGGTGCTATAATAAGCAAGTGTCCACACAATGCATCAAGGCAACATCACAACATGTGCACGTGAATAATTGAAGCTGCGGTTTGTATTTCAGCAATATTTGTTTCACACTCGTTGGCCACTGCAGCCGCTGTCAACTGCAAAGACGCTACGGACCAGGGAGTACTAGTGAAGTGTTTATATTATTTATATACTCACCTTCTTACGTACTGCCCTTGTTCAGAAATGTCTCTGCATTATACATTTCAGTTGCGGTAGGTCGACGCGAAAAAAAAACGCGGCCTAAGAGACGTCTTCATCTTTTGATGCACGCAAGCACATCGGGGTACCCAACGGTGCAAATTCCATACATAGATATGGTGACCCCGTGAACACGGAACGTTTGACTAACGTTCATACAACGGTTCCGACCACATTATCGCCACGTTGCGAGTTTAAGTGGGGAAGTTTCTCAAGGAGCGGCTCGACGTCGCGTTCCGCTCAATAATCTCCGGATTCATTCCGTGCATTTCTCTCCGCGACAACGAAGACGACGCCCCGTGCATTCGCGTCGTCGCACGGAGTTGCTCTGTGGATAGCTTCCCCTCTTTTTTTTTTAGGACACGTGGGGGCATCTGCGGCATCTGCGGCGGCAGCAGCAGCAGCATCTCTGGCCCTGACTCGCGGCATGCATTCATCACGCAGTACACTCGCGGGACCTTGTACGTTGGAAAAACAATCACACAGGACAGCCCGGCTTAACGTCCTCTCCAAGGACGTGGTGCACTTAATGGTACTGTGCTGGCAGCACGTGCCCAGGGTAACTCTCTGCCCAAGAGTTCGAATTGCTGAAGCAGACTTACAACAACAACAACAACAGGACACTGCCGGTGGCTCTCGTTGAACCTCACTTAGTAAATAAGAGATGAAATTGTACCTTAAGAAGGCGAATGGCTTTGCCTTAATACGAAAGTAACAAATTAACAAGGCGTTTTTTTGCATTTTTATCGGCGCTGCCATAAACGTGCTATAAACGCATTACTTGGGGCATTAAACTTGTCGGAGAATAATAAAATTACAGCAGGCTGTTCCAGCCATGCAAATAGTTATTCCGCTAGGGAAGGAAAATGGCTTTCCGAAGCTTCTGCCGCGCCTCTGCATTGCGGCTTGATTGGGCATAACAGAGCCTTGTTTACAGCAAAAGGCGTAACAGCAAACAGCGTAAAGAGTTGATGGTGTTTTATGGAAGATCGAGATGCAATTGTTTCCTGGAAACAAAGCCCATGATTTTAATCAACAAAGCCAGCGAGCGTATAAAATTGACATAATGGGTGATCAATAGATGTGGAATGTGCAATCAGTTTAAGTGGAAATACATGCTAAACGTACACGGTATGAAGAACAGAACATGTCATAATAGCTTTACATACGCATTCAAGATATATAATTTAAGCTGTGGCAAAACTGATTTTCAATTGATTTGTGAATTAAATAATATCATTATTGCTTACCATCCACAGACCTCCAGACAATTAATGTAGTAGTGAAACTAATGTTAAACAAAACACCGTGAACTCTTGATGAATGCAAACATTGTTGAGACAGCTTGGTATTTTTGTTTCTCATAGAATAAATTGAGACAAATATCGATTTAAAGCTTTTCGTGACTGCAGGGATCCATCTTCTTGGTTCTTTCGGTAAAGTCACGTAGAAGGGAAGTAATAAAATAATAAAAATAAAACCTGAAGACGGCTGCTTGCGTTGTAGCCGAAACGTCGTGAGAATTATTTTATTTTATTATGTTTTATTTTTATTATTTTATTACTTCCCTTCTACATGACTTTACCGAAAGAACCAAGAAGATGGTTGAAACAAATACTTTCTGCGTAAGTATAACTTACAGGAGGCTATGGACGTGCACATTAACCAGACTGCATGACGCGTCTTTCACTGCTTTTGGCCTCCACTCTTCAAATGGAAAATTGTAATCAGGAATTGTGTAAGTGAAAAAGCTACAAAGGAGATCTAATCTTACATTGTTGGTCACTGATTAGCAGCGAGGGAACAAATTGGGTGAACATAGCTTTTGTATCGTCACATTTCCTGAATGTACTTGTCCTAGAAGCGAATTTTTTTTTTTTTACTCCCTGCTTTGAAACATGAAAACAGTTATTCGTGACTGTTTTATCTTATTGTTCCCGTTGTATTATTGGTTCTTTCGGTAAAGTCACGTAGAAGGGAAATAATAAAATAATAAAAATAAAACATAATAAAATAAAATTCTCACGACGTTTCGGCCAAAACGCAAGCAGGTGAAGAACAGGGCTGTCGGAAAGACAGCGTCCTAATGAACACTGCTAAGCTTGGCAGCGTATTTTTAAGCTGGGTCGGAGGAGAGAGCCTTGACATAGGAGTTTACATATCAACAGAGGACGGCTGCTTGCGTTGTGGCCGAAACGTCGTGAGAATTTTATCTTTTAATTTTAATTTTTATTATTTTATTATTTCCCTTCTACGTGACTTTACTGAAAGAACCAATAATATGAATCCCTGCAGTCACGAAAGCTTTACATCGAAATGTTCCTGTTGTCTTAAAATAAATTCTTGATACCCATTATATTTTCTGTTCTTCTTTTGCCGCGTGGTAACTACAGCCAGTAAACGTTCAACTAAATATACAGTTTAACAGTAAGAGCACCGATTCAAAGCACAGTGGCAGCCAATGAATGGAACGCGTCTGAGAAAACGCCCATCAAGGGGACAGGGCGATTAAATGACCTCGTGTGCAGCTGTGATGTGGATTGTTAAGTCACTAAATCGTGAGAGATGGTGACGGCTTTGGGAGGCTCAAGCAGTGGATCGATCAAGTCTGATGATGATGATGACGACGCTTTAAAGCATTTATAATACGCGCGTAGAAGTGTGACAACCTTTTGCTGCGAATTGTACGTAGCAAAAAAAAAAACAGCGACAATCAAAGAAAAAAAAATCACGGAAACGCAAAAAAAAATAATCGCACCGACGACGACAACGACGTCATCATCGTCGTCGTCGTCGTTTTTTTTGTTTCCATCTCACCGAGCTGCTGGCCAGCCATGACGCGTCCGTTCTCCCCGGCCACGGCGAGCCGGGCGCTGCGCTCGCTGGCGTACTGCACGAAGCCGTAGCCTTTGTGCACCGAGCAGCCGACGATCTTGCCGTACTTAGAGAAGAGGGTCTCCACCTCCGGCTTCTTGACGATGGCCGTGTTGAGGTTGCCGATGAAGACGCGAGAGTTGATTGACCTCGGGTCGTTTTTGTTGGTCACGTTGCTTGTCTGTGCCTTGCCGGTCATGTTTGTGTCCTTTTTTTGCCGGCGAATTCTTTCAAACAGTTAGCTGGGCTTGTGGGGTTTTCTTTCTTTCTTTCTATTGTTTATCTTCTTTTCTTTGGGCGGTATTAAAATTAAGTGTCCTGTGGGTAACAAGAACAAAAAAGGGTTGGGAAATTAGGCACATGTTGGATATATGCGTGCAGGTCAAAATTAACTGCATGTTCACGCGTCTAAAAAAATAATTTTCCTGGGCAAGCGTTTGCATTGTGGTAATGTTCAGTGCAGTGCAATACTTTTACAAGGCTATTAATTGGTCAACCAGATCTACTAACCGCACTAGAGATAGGCACTCTCTGGAGATAATGCAGCAATTATAAAAGCCGGGTACCGCTTTACAAAAGACAATATTCACACGATGATGGGTCGATAGCATCACCATTTGTTATTACAACCACATCTTGTTGGGGGTAAACTGTACATATTATTGGTTCTTTCGGTAAAGTGACGTAGAAGGGAAATAATAAAATAATACAAATATAAAAAAATACAATTCTCACGACGTTCCGACTGCAACACAAGCAATCATAATCAGGTGTGAAATCTACAGCAATATTTTTTTTCTAATTTTCTTGCTGTGGATTTCACACCTGATGATGATTGCTTGTGTTGCAGTCGAAACGTCGTGATAATTGTATTGTTTAATAATTGTATTATTTCCCTTCTACGTGACTACCGAAAGAAGTAATAATAGTTATCCCGGCAGTCACGAAAGCTTTAAATCAAAATGTAAACTCTGTACAGTATATCTAAATTTAAATTTGTGTAATTTCTAAAACATTTAACTCGGCTCTAATACAACCCACAACTGAGACACGTGCGAATTATTTGTAGTTATAACCTGTAGCTGCAGTTTAATATACGCCTTTCAAAATAAGCAAATAATATGCAGTGGAAATTAACATCAGTTTCAGAAGACTATAATTAGAAGGCTCTAAATGGCATTTTAATCGCAGTATACCTAAACTCAGTGGTGTATCCAAGCAAATCATTAGGGCGCCCTTAAATGGCATTTCAGGTAATGAGTGGCAATAGCTGAATTAGAAGCTTAGCTGCAATCAAGACTAATATTTAATTAAGGACCCTCCTTATTTTATAAAGGAAATGAAGGTATATCCCAGTGAAAATAAGATTTCGAATTCAAATCGCATACTAGGCCAATTTCACTTTTGCACGTGCAATCAACTTAAGGTAATCAGTGGGCAATTAGCAAATGGAGGTACTATGTTCATAAAAAAGATGAATATTCTAACCGTGCACGTCCTATGAATTTCTGCAAAGAGGTTACACCACAGTGACTCGATCCACAGACTCACTGCCTTTATTCACACGCTCCGAATTGCTTCGGCAGGGTGAAAACACAGAAGTGAGCGTGTGATGCGTGCAATTGTGCAGCAGCCGGTGTTCAGGTTGAGAATAAAGAAACGAAAAAGAGGGTGACGGCGCAGCAGGCCCATCTTTGTGATTTGCCCTCCACACTCAGAAGAGCATTCAAGATTCACATCTCAAGTTCCCCCCCTTTATTAAGTGTATGTGCCCCCCCCCCCTGCACCTCAAAGGAACACTTCTATTCCTGCAGAGTAACTATTTCATGCAATGCCCTTTGGGTGGGGAACAAGCAAAAATATAATGCGACCTGTATATTTAATCAATGCATTTATTTTAAAATACTTCATACGTATTTAATTGAAACAAATGAACAGCTGAAAACGGAACCTCATCAAGTCTCTATGGGAAAAAAATTAACCCGTAAAAACAAAGTTTTTCACTATAAATCCTTTATATGCATGGCGGCTAGTCCTCTCGTCCTCTGGCTTGAGATGGCTGCCACCTATGGGTGAGATGATTGCCTGCCACCATTAAGAAATTGGTAATTAAATATAATTTCTTTTTTCTTAAAAAGTGTAACATTTTGGAGAAAAAAAATTCACGAAAATAAATTGTCACGCACAACGAGTCTGTGTGCAAAATGTCAGCTAGATTGGATCACGGGAAGTGGGTTAAAAAACGACCGAAAGATTTGCACGGTCTTAAACGCGCAAGCAAGCAAGTGAACTTAATATAAAGGATTTAAAAACTAAAAGTACCACTGGAGTGGGAAAGATACATTTTTAAATAACGACTTAAATAAGCAAATGGCTGGCCCATCACGTTAAATTGCTGAAAATCAGGCGCAAAATGTGCAAGAAAAAAAAACACTTGGACCTTAAAATTTTGTGACACACCAAAATAATGGTGAGAGCGGTTTGGGACTGACTCTTAGTTTTGAGCGATGCATTTAATAGGCCATTTCTGTGATGCACTCAGACGTTATAATTGCATAACGAATTGCTGATACTTAGACCAATGTAAATATAGCACGATTGCATAAGGCATATACAAGTTATTTTACTGGGTTATACACAAAATATAGAAATAAGTGCGCAAACAATGTACCTGCAGGTTTTACAACTACACTACTTTAATTGTGTTCAATCAAGGTAATTTAACCAAAAAAGTAAAATGAAAAAATGATGCTCTAATTAAAATGGCCAAATTCGTTTTCTTCAGTTAGTAGATTATGCAAGTGAGAGAAATTAGTATGCAGTTTGCGGTATATATAAATAACTTTCAGTGCTGTAATGTCTTCATGTATGAAATAAATGTACTGTACTTGTTTACAATACATTTGAAGGCCATTTCAGAAAACCGTAACCCGTTACACCTGCTTTGAATTGGTCACTCTTGCTTACAATGACAAGCTATTTGACATCCACCAAACAATCCATCAACGTTGATAAATGGCATTCTCTGGGTATGCCATTCGGCTCTAATGGACAGCTGTAGGAATCAAACCATTGAACACCCATGAATACCAGGTTACAGCGGCAAGCATTGTCCAACCACATTGTCAGCCAACGGCGATGCACCGTGGCACTGCAAAATCACGAGATGAGCAAAGCGTACAAAATTAAATCTTGAATAAATACTTTAATTATAATTAAAGTACGTATCTCTCTCTCTGAAAGTCTTCCGGGCATTTATACTCCAGATTGCAACACAGGCACAGAGGATGCACAATAACAAAGATGCCCTGTACTGCTATACCTGATAGACTTTTGGGTCTCGGCAAGCACCCATTAACAGTGAGTCAACCTCGGTGGAGGTCGTGGACCGGTTCAAACATGATGTTATTGGTCACGAGGAGGAATCGAAGTCGAGTCACCGGGTTCGTCGGAAAGTGCGCTGAACTCTGCTTCACTCACACAAAGACAATGATCCTTCGTTTAGCCTTTAACAGACTCTTGGGGCAATCTTGAATTGAAGCTTTCGTGACTGCAGGGATCCATTACTCTTTGGTTCTTTCGGTAAAGTCACGTAGGTATAAAAAAAATTATAGATCACGACGTTTCGATCGCCACACAAACAATCGTCCTCAGGTGGGAGTGCTGTTATTGAGCATCGATGAAAGCCGGCACGGCACACGAGGGGGTGGGTGGCCAGCACCAGGCCCGGCCGCCTTTGTCTCCCTCGTGGTGAGGTTTACACACCGCACTAAATATTAATTTAAGGCTGAGTCGACTTAGGCACAGTTCAGATACTCGTCACTGGTGTTGGCCGTGAGCGGGGATCGAACTCGCACAGCCAGGTTCACAGCGCAGCGCGGTGGCCGTTACACTTACACACACAAAGACAAAGATCCCCCGTATAGCCTTAACAGACTGGAGGGGCAAGTGCTGTTAGCGAGCACCTATAAAAACCGGCACGTCACACGAGGGGGTGGGTGGCCAGCACCCCACCCAGCCGCCTTTGTCTCCCCAGTGGCGATGTTTACAAATCGCACCAGGTACTCGTTTGAGGTTGAGTCGACCTAGGGGAGGCCCAGGACCGGTACATATATTCGTCACCGGTGATGGCCGTGAGCGGGAATTCAACTCGGGTCGCTGGGTTCGTAGCGCAGCGTGCTGACCACGACACTACCGCTCCACACACACACACACACGCGCATACATACACACATACACACACGCGCATACATACACACATACACACACGTGCATACATACACACACACACGCGCACACATACACACATACACACCCACCCGACGATGGACATTGCTTCCATCAGGTATTCAAACATTAAGCGATCATCTGTGAGTGACCGGTCATGTAATGTCCCCTGGACATTTTTAAAATTACCGTAGCTGGTGTCAGTGTCCACTCATGCACCACCACCCGAAGCATCTCCCGTGTATCACAGAGCACAGTGCTGCCGCCTTCGGGCTCTGGCATCTATAAACGAGCTAGATGTGTGTCTGTCATGCCTAATGTGTGACGGCTGACATTGGCATGCATTTCTGGAGGGAAGCAACGCTGCAGAACAAGCCACATGTCAAAGGGTGTGATCTCAGGGGACCTTACGACCAGCTTGGAGCAGATCCCTCGGGTCTACAGGCGTGTTTACAAATTAGAACACCCCTACGAAGTGTGTGGCATTCCACCAGAAATAACACGTCAACGCATCCTCCAGTGCTCAGATATAATGGTGCTTGTTTGTTGAATTTGTTTTCACAACTTTTTAAATCGGGCATTGCACTGATGCTTCCACGTCAGAAGAGCACCACGTCTCGCTGATTTTATTAAACATACACGGGCTTGCCAAATATCCTTCCAGAGTCTCTCTTACACAATCGACTGACAATGCTGCCTTCTTTTTCGTTGACCGTGCAAATGCCCACGTTGTTTGCTGTAAGCTTGTCACGATAAATAAGTTGACAGAAGTTATGTCCCATCTAAAACAAGCGCTCAGGACAGTTGTTCTGAAGATGTTGCGTGCGTCCTCTTGGTTGGCGTTTGTGGCAAAGACTTGTCAAACTCACTCCTATTGCGAACCCGTTTTTTTGTACGTCCATCTGCTTCGTCACGGCTCGGCTCAGGCTTGGCTCTGGCTCAAGCGAACCGGCTCAAAGAAAGCCACACTTACAGTGAGGGAAAAAAGTATTTGATCCCCTGCTGATTTTGTACGTTTGCCCACTGACAAAGAAATGATCAGTCTATAATTTTAATGGTAGGTTCATTTGAACAGTGAGAGACAGAATAAC